ACCAGCTACTCAAATACCAGAGAAGTAAAGCCTGGTTTGGAAACTCCTTGATGATGAAACCCAGTTTGGAAACTCTGTATTAACTTGTCTTTCTCTCCCTATTGCCTAGCTCAGGTTTTGTCACAGAGAGGGACTAAGTGACTATTAATTGAATTAATAAGCAATTATCTATACATAAAGAGGCTTGGAACACCCATATTCGTGTCTTAATTCCTGTAGCAAAGCATGAAGATTTCTAGAACTTTGACTTTGTCAGTATTATTAACGTGTTTAGAGAATAATGTTTTGAAATTCAGTACCATGTACTTTGGAGTTTGGGGAGGGTTTTGGTTAGAGAAGATATAGATCCAGCTTTCACTGAAGTGTACAAAACCAAACAAGTTAATTACAGATTATTACCATATACTATACATCCGTAAAAGTCTAAAAGTCTAAAAGTTTGGGTATGGTGTGTCTGGCTGGCTCAGTTGGTTAAGCAACTGGCTCTTGATTTCAGCTCAGGTCATGATCTCAGGGTCATGGGGTCAAGCCCTGTGTGGGGCTCTGTGCTCAGTGCGGAGTCAGCTTGAGATTCTCTCTCTCCCTCTCCCTCTACTGCTCCCCCTGCTCTCTTGCTCTCTCTAAATAATAAATAAAATCTTTTAAAAAAAAAGTATGGGTGTGTTTGTGAGAGAGAGGGAGGGAGAGAGAGAGAGAGGGAGAGAAAGAGAGAGAGAGGCAGACAGACATGGGCTGTTAGGGGGATGTTTCTAATCCAAACTTAAATTCTGGAAGACTTTCCAAAATCAGTTACACTGGAGCTGCGTTTTGAAGGTCTGCAGAAGTTAGTTTCCTAAAGAAAAGGTGGGGGCCAGGGAGTTGGAGGTTGGGGAGGCATTGCTGGTAGAAGGGGGCAGTAGAGAAACCAGCGCAAAGGCCTGGAGGCAAAGAACTTGGCTCATTTTGGAAACTTCATACAGTTCTGTGTGGCTGGAAGTTAGAATTGGAGGAAGGGTACATGCAGAGAGAGGAGTTTAGAGAGGAGAGACAGTGGCCAACTTGTGAGTGAGTTTTTCATAATAAGCTGTTTGGATTTTATTTTGAAAACAGTATGATAGAGATCACCAGAGGTGGCCAGAGGACCAAAAATAAGATGCTGTTATTACTGTAAGAGAGAGAGCACAGATAACAGTTCAATTACTAAAGTGACACCTTCTGTTATAGTGTAGAACCTATATCTCCCAAACCATTTTATTTCCTGTTGCAATTCTAACAGAATTCTAGCAGATTCTAGTTTTCCAGTCACTGTAAAGAATAGTAGCCAACTAAAATAAAAGTTTCCGGGCACCTGCGTGGCTCAGTTGTTAAGTGTCTGCCTTCGGCTCAGGTCATGATCCCGGGGTTCTAGGATCAAGCCCCGCATCGGGCTCCCTGCTCGGCGGAAAGCCTGCTTCTTCCTCTCCCACTCTCCCTGCTTGTGTTCCCTCTCTCACTGTGTCTCTCTCTGTCAAATAAATTAATAAAATCTCTAAAAAAATAAATAAAGTTTCCATTGGTCTCGAGCAAATATTATTCATATTGTTAGAGCCATTCCTGAGAGTCAGCTTCTGTCCATGAGATGGATAATTGACTATAATCAATTGATATCCTGAGAAGACACTTGCATCCTTTTGCTTTCAAACCACATTTATCATTAAATTGAGTTTTTATTGCTTTTTTGAAAATTAATTTAAAATTTTTTATGACCTGGTTATTTTATATTTTAATAGATCAAAGGTACTAAAGGTAATGTGGGTAGAAAATAAAAACCAGAGTGCCTAAAATAAGAGATATTTTTAAGGCTAGAACTTTAATATTGTGTATCATTATATGTATTCACTCTTTTTTCTCATCCCCACAAGAAAATGTACCCAAACATTTCGGTTTTAAATTATTTAAAAATATCTTTAGAAAAGACACAGCCATTTTCCTTAAATTGTTCTATCACTTAACCTGAGTATGTTTAATCTTGTTTCCTAATGGTTCTGATTTTTCCTAATTATTATATAGTCTATCATATATTTTTAAAAAATCTGTTAATTTATTCCATAGTCCCTTTTGTGAGCTAAAATTTTCTATTTTTTTAAAGTATTTCATTTTCTGAATTTAATCATTTGGTTCTCTCCACAATATTCATCATGATATATAAACCCTCTTTCAATGGTAGAATCCTAAGTTGTCTGTGTTGAATGGAAGAATTAGTAATAGGTTTAATGAGAGAATTCTCTTTCAACTTTTGTGTTTTTATTCTCTTCTTTAAGCATTTGACTATTGTGCCCAGTTTTTTAAAAAATACATTTACGGTGCTAATGGCTATTTAGCTTATGGAGTACCATAAGTCTAAACAATTATATTTACATTATTTTTTTAAAAGATTTTATTTATTTATTTGAGAGAGAGAGAAGAGAGAGACAGAGAGAGAGAGACAGAGAGAGCATGAGCAGGATGGAGGGGCAGAGGGAGAGGGAGAAGCAGACTCCCTGCTGAGCGGGGAGCCTGATGCCGGGCTCAATCCCAGGACCCTGAGATCATGACCTGAGCTGAAGGCAGATGCTCAACTAGCTGAGCCACCCAGGTGCCACCAATTATATTTACATTTATACTAATTAAAGAATGGCATATTATTTTATGATGTTATTGTTTTATATATATATAATGTGATTATTTTTTAACAAGATTTTTATGAACCAGAAATTCCCATAATCATTCTAAAAGATGAAGCTTCCCAAGCATTTTTCCTAGTGTGTAGTGAATTGGTAGCACATTTAATTGTGATGTCAGAAGTTTGAATCCCTTACTATAAGTAATTGTGTTACAAAACTTGTATGTTAGAATTATTGCTTTTATTTCTTTAAATAGGAAATATTACATGGTCTGAAAAAATTTATCTAAGTTTTAAACTTTTTCTTGGATAACAATTCTTAAAGCGTTGTACTTTTTTCTGCAGATTGATCAGACAGCTGATGCAAGTTTTTTGGGCTGGGTTATTGCTTCATTTAGTCTTGGCCAAATGGTAGCTTCACCTATATTTGGTTTGTGGTCTAATTATAGACCAAGAAAAGAACCTCTTATTGTCTCCATCTTCATTTCGGTCGCGGCTAACTGCCTCTATGCGTATGTCCACGTTCCAGCTTCTCATAATAAATACTACATGTTGGTTGCTCGTGGATTGGTGGGATTTGGAGCAGGTAATATTTATGTATATGTTCGGCTGTGTCAGATTCACATTCACCTTGACATTTATGGCCCTCTATCACCTGGTGTCACCTCCTTATAATCTCATATCTTACATATAGATCTCTCATTGCAAATAGACAAATATCTTTCCTATCATTTTGCCTTTCCTCATAATGTTCCCATTACCTATAGTTTCTTGATTCTGTTCCCATCATTCTTCATCCTTCAAGATTCAGTTCAAGTTCCACATCTTCCATAAAGCTTTCTTAGGTAACTACCCCTTAACAGATCTTTCCTTTCTCTAGCTTGTCTGTGGCACTTGCTTATATCCTGTTTTGCACTGTTTTCATCTTTATCACCAACCAGATAGTAAACTTTTTATAATTAGAGACAATTTATGACTTCCTAAAATATTCTGTGGCCCCTTACAGAGTCTCTTGCCATAATAAGAACTCAAGGACATTTTTTTCAATAAATTTTTTTTCAGTCAAATTCATAGTGGATTTCTTTTTCTGTTTCTTATATTATGGGTCCTAAGCATGCAGTTTGTGACATCTTTTAAAAATAGTTGTAACAATCACTAGTATGCCATTCACTCCATATTTAATGTGCTTTCTCCATATTTAATGAAGAAAAAAAGTTTAACATTTCTGTAATGCCTTTTTTTCATTCATTCAGATCTTTAACTGTGTTTTCATGTTACTGAAAGCAATATTTTCCATTAATTGATAACATTTTCTCAATGTACGTGCTTGGTATGATCATAAAGAGGAAGCAGTGATTTTTGTTCTATATAAAGCCTAATTAAGTTGAATTTTATAAACTGAAGGATATTTTCTTTTACTTTGAATTATTGTATCTTTTTTTAGGAAATGTGGCAGTTATTAGATCATATATTGCTGGTGCTACTTCCCTCCAGGAAAGAACAAGTTCCATGGCAAACACTAGCGCATGTCAAGCATTAGGTTTTATTCTAGGTCCAGGTAGGTATTTTTCACTTGTCATTACTTAAACTGGGAAAACTTTTGAGGTTCAAATGTTAAATGGAATCCAAGTGTAAAACCTCATAGCTGAAAGGAAACTAGTATTTTTTGATCCAACAGGAGGCTAGGCTCTTTATATGTGTTAACAAATGTCCTCTAAAGTAAATGGTATTAGTCCCATTTTACAGATTAGGACACCAAAGCATAGAGAATCTAAGTAAATTATTCAAGGTCAGCCAGATAGCAAATGGGAAATATGAGGTTTAAACCTAACTCTGACTCCTGAGTATATGTTCCGTGAAATAATCATTTAGCTTGACATCTCCATAATAGTTTGCTTTTTTTCCCTGTTTATTAGAAACAAAATTCTTTTGACTGAGGATTTGAGGAAAGTTATAGGAGGTTCTTAACCCTTTTGCTCTTTGCCCATGCCTTTCAGACTTTTCTAAGGTTGAAGAAAATGAAAGAATTTTTAAAAGACTGTTTAAAGACCATTTTTCTTCCAAAACTTCATTTGAACTTTGACTGTAAAACATTATTAATGAGATTTAATACTTCCCCAAGGCAAGTAATTTTTTGCTGATTAGATAAATTAGTAATTTTTATGCTTAGAAAGATATTTAAAAACCATATAATTGGCTCATGCTTTGAATACTGCAGTTGCGAATATCATCACTTTGAATCCAGCTCAGTTTACTTCATCATTAATATCCCACCCTCACCCCTGTTTCCATTACTTCCTTTTATAACTCTTTTTTTTTTTTT